GGGGGGGGGAGGGACAACAATTTAGTCCATAACAAATTGTATGCCAACAAGTTAGATAACATGGATGATGACGTGGACCGATTCCTAAAACAGGCACAACTTACACACTACCAAACTGACTTAAAAATAGAAAATCTGATAAGACCTGTAACAAATGAAGAGATTGAAGTAGTAATTAAAAAGTTAACATAGGAAAGCCCAGGCCCAGATGTCTTCACAGGTGAATTTGACCCAACATTGACAGATTTAATACTAATTCTTCATCAATTCTTCTAAAAATTAAAAGAGGAGAGAATACTTCCCAATTCATTCTAGTATTACCTTGATATCAAATCCAGACAAATACATTAATCACAAGAAAAACAACACTTATGAACATAGACCCCAAAATCCTCAACAGAATACTAGAAAAACAAATTTAGCATCATATAAAAAAGATTATACACCATAAGCAAGCCGGATTTACCCCGGGAATGCATGGTTGGTTTAATATCTGAAAATCAACTAAAGTAATAGACCATTTTGATGGAATTAAGAAAAAAGCCGGCATAATTATTGCAATAGGTGCAGAAAAAACATTTCACAAAATCCAACACCCTCTCATGATAAAAACACTCAACCAACTAGAAATAGAAGGAAACATCCTCAACCTGATAAAGGTCGTCTACAAAAACCCACACTAACATCATCTTTAATTGTGAAAGACAAAGCTTTCACTCAAACACCAGGAGCCAGGAATGGATGTTTGCTCTCTTCTGTTCAACATTGTCTTAGACTTTCAAGCCAGGGCAACTAGGCAAGAAAAAGAAATAAAAGCATTCATATTAGAAATGAAGAAGCAAAACTATCTCTATTCGCAGATGATATGATTTTGTGTGTAGAAAATCCTGAGGAATCCACTAAAATTGAATCATTAAAACCTGTTCTCTACTTTCAAGGCACTTCCAGGCATGGAGGGGGACAGTGTAAATGAGTGTTTATATGTGAGTATTGTGGGAGAAGTGTTTCCCAGAGAAGGATATATTTTGCCTGGGTCCATGTGGAGTATGTAGGCATCTAAATGGAATATTGGAGTATGGATGATTGTGGTGAGGGCAAAGGTCAGCATTTCAAGCAAAGAAGACTACATGCAAGGAGGTTCAGTATGACAAAGCAGGGTTCAATGATGAGCTGTGAGTGTGGCTGGAAAGTGGGGTTTGTGGGGTAGTGTGGGAGATAGGTCAAGGAGGTGAGCAAAGCCCTTATATACAGCCAAAGACCAATTACATGATCATGTGCAGTGTCTGGGTTTCGTCAAGGGTCCCTGGACTTGTACTTGTGTTAATTTGACCTGGTCTCAGTACTAGGTCTGTTTCTTTTCCAGGTTTCTGGGTGGAGCGTACCCCTGTACATGAAGCTGCCCATCGTGGTGAAGCCCTGGAGCTGCAGCAGCTGATCGAGAGTGGTGCCTGTGTCAACCAGGTCACGGTGGACTCCATCACACCCCTGCACACAGCCAGTCTGCAGGGCCAGGCACAGTGCGTGCAGCTGCTGCTGGCTGCTGGGGCCCAGGTGAGCGGTTCTTTAGGACACTCATGGAGCTTGGCTGTGGCTGCGGGCATAGATGGGACCAGCTCAAGGGACATGGAGAGGGAGGAAAATAAGGGGTTTGGGATTTGCATTGTGTGATTTGCAAACCCACGGGAAGTAAAGAAACCACTGCAGAAAACGGAGCAGAAAAGGAAAAAGGAAACCAGAATGGGGTGTGATGGGAGCTCAGGGAGAGGAGAGGAGGTCTCTGTGTCAGCCGCACACTAGCACCAGTAAATGTGGTCATGCACTTGGCTGTTAGGGGGTTACTGGTGGCCCAAGAGAAGGCAGTTTTAGCAAAGTGGTGGAGGGAATGCTCTGCTCTGCATTAGGCAAGCAGGCCATGTGTGTCACAGGCTCTCTGGAGGGCTGTCTGGGCCTTGGCTCAAGAGCTGCTGTTTGGGCTCAGAGAGCAGGATGACTAAGGGATGCTGGCAAACTGCTTTCTAAAGAAAAGGTAAAAAGGATAAAAAACAAGATTCTGATCTGATTTGCTGCTTTTCCCAGTGTAAGTACACATGCCTCACTGATTTCAGCCCTTAGTGCTTTCTGGCTGGCAGAATTGCTGGACGTTTCACAGTGGGCTGGACACTGCCGGGCTGGATGGTGCTGGGGTTCAGAGTAAGGTCTAAGTGAAGATTGTGCACTGCTTACTCTTTCCTGAAGCTTGGCCATGAAGGCAGTTCAAGAGGAAGTAGAACAAGCTTCAGCATGCACCCAAATAGCAGCTGCATTTGGACAAGTTCTAAGCAGAATCTGCCAGATGGGGAGCTGCCTTTTTTCCTGCCCTATGTTTTTCCAACTAGAGGAAGCATGTTAAGCAGTTTCAGACACTCCTAGCTGAGGCTGGAGTTAAAGCCCCTTTTTATGCCCTGACTTCTTCAGCTGGAACCTGGAGCTCTCTTGCCTGCTCTGTGCATATTAAGTGTTGGGTGGTGGTGAGAGTGAGGCTGAGTCGTTCCTGCCTGAGAATGAAAAAAACCCCAGACAGAATGACGCCTGTGCTTAGGAGGCTAATAGGTGATCCCAGCCCAAGTTCCTTTGATCCATAAACTCCCCTGCCTGGCACTATGCCTTAGTACATACTAGAAAACCTAAGAACTTCTTAGAAAAACTAAGAAGTGTCTTTGCCCAGATGAATGTGCATCGGGATGAGAAAGCACATTTCCCCCTTGGTCCTGTAACACCTGTTTCTTCCTCTCCACTAGGTGGATGCCCGGAACATCGATGGCAGTACCCCCCTCTGTGATGCCTGTGCCTCGGGCAGCATTGAGTGCGTGAAGCTGTTGCTCTCCTATGGGGCCAAGGTCAACCCACCCCTGTACACAGCCTCCCCGCTGCATGAGGCCTGCATGAGCGGTGAGTCAGGTGGAAGGGAGCCATGTGGACAGGAAGTGGAAGCCATAGTCTGAGCCAGGAGAGTTCGTGGTCTGTATCTGGCTCTTGGTTGTTTGGCCATGGAAATGCTCAGCTTTCCTCCTGGAGATACAGTCCTTACCCAGGAGTAGGGGGCTGTTATTTCCATGATAGGATTCTATTTCTCAGCAGATGCTCAGTGCCTTTCAGACACTAGCACTGGAGATTGGTCTACTCTACAGTCTTTCTCTCAGTCTTTCCTGTCATTTTTGTCTTGTGAGCACCTGACCTAGTTGGGAGATGAGACCCAGACACATTCCTGAGGACAGTTTTTCTCAGAGGAGGAGGAGCGGGTCCTGCAGGCTCAGGGAGCAGGTGGGATTTCAACTGCCTTCCAAGAATGGATGTTCTCCAGATGGTGGGAGGTTAAGAGGAAGGCCGTGCACAGGAAACATGACATCGAGTCTCACTGGATCAGAAGCTCCCAACAGATAACTACAACAGATAAGAATGGAAATTTAAGACGAGATCAGCTGGTGGAAATTTTTTAAATGACAGACTAAGGATTTTGGATTCTACTCTTTTGAGCAAGGTTGCAAACTTGTAACCTATATTTTGATTGTCCAGTACAGTGTTTGTCTTTATTGCACTTCATTGGGGTGTGCAGTGTGCCCTCCTCTGTGCCTTCACACAGGGCCATTGTTCTCTGCTGCCTCATACTTTGATTCCCACAGTTAGGTCACCTTTCATCGTTCACAGGCACTGGGGATTGCTACAGGCAGCTCTTGAAGTTTCCTGAGCAGACATTGAATGACTGGAAAACAGCATTATTGAAAGGTTAGTTTAGTGGCCATCCATGTACGGTGTAGGTGAGGAAAAATTTTTCCTTTACCTATCTTAGGTTCACTAGCTGGGCCCCACCAATTAGGTACAAGGGATTGATTAAAAAGAGAAAACAGAAGTTTGTTAATTTGAGTAGTGCATTGCAGATACACACAGGAGAACTTGGCAAGATGTCACTCAAAGGGGTGTTTAGAACTTGGGCTTATTTGGAAAAATAAATTTTTAGAGAAATGGCAAGACAAAAGAAAAGGACTTTGAGCTTCTAGGATGGCAAGTTGTGGGGAGGCAAATATATGGAGGAACTAATGGTAGATGGGACCAGTTTTAGCAATTCCACCTAGAGTTGTCTCTAGTGATTAACTTCTGTCCTTCCTGGTAGAGAGGTGAGGGGAAATCTTTACAAATATACATCCTTCTTTTAGGCCATATGGGGGAGGGCAGAGAGCTTTTCTTCTATCTGTTTCTTCTCAATTGTCTTCAGCTCAAAATAAACCTTATGCCAAAGTGGCATATTTTGGGGTGGCATGTTCTGTCCTTCAATAGACTGAAATGGTGGCAGTGGGGGATATCCTGGAAGTGGAGAGATGAGATGGGGACCATCACAGTGATCTAAATGCAAAACTCTTAGAGTCCAAGTGGCATGGATTCATTTAGAAAACAGAAGAATTAATGGGCCTGATATGAGGGAGAGGAAAGCACAGGCCAAACCTATTCAGGGTTGAGCAAGGAATGTGGCCAATGGCTGAGATAGATTGGCCAGGAGAATGTGCCCTAGGGAGGGGATGGAGAGGGCCTGGTAGTAGTTAAAACATCCAAACAAGAATGGCCAGCAGATAGCTGTAGATGAGGGGCTGGTTTTCAGGGCTAGAGGTGGAAATTTGGTAGCTACTGACAGAAAGTGTGATCAAGAGATGAGAGAGGATGGAGTCTTGTACACGATGAACCTCCACCCTAACCCATATTAAAGATACCCTGAGAGGAGCCAGCAAAGAGGAAGGAAAAGTGTCTGTGAGTTGGGAACCCATGGTAAGAAAATTAAAGTAGTTCACCGAGGAGGCTTGGGCTGGAGATGCCAGCACCCCTAGGCTGGATGTACCCAACATAGCTTACAAGGCAGCCCCCAAAGAGGAGCACCTTCTCTCCCACTGAGGAGCTGGGGAGCAGTGAGGAGAGTCTTCTCTGGCTGTTCTGAAGTGGTATTCCCCAACTTTCTGTTCTCCCAGCAACAGGGCTGGCTGTGTGCTCTATTTCTGATGCTGCCAGGCAGGCTTGGAGAACTGTTGTTCCCTCAGGAGAAAAGACAACCATCCACTTGATCTCTAGGGCCACACAGGGTTATGGACTGCTCTTGTAGTCCTGGTTCTTCTCTCTGCTCCTGCAACCAAGCATGGGGCTTACCTGTTCCAGCCATCAGTACTTATTATTTCATGCCATGTCATGCTTATTATTTCAAATGTATATATCAGTAATTTTCAACCAGTGCACTGCAAAATTTTTTTAAACTTGCAATACCTGACTGTTTAGTCAGTCAGGGGCACTGACCTCTTTTCCCTTAGATTGCCAAATAAAACAATGACAACACAACAATAGCCTCCCAGTGTGAATGTCCTGTCTTGAACCATAAATATATATAGGTCATATAACAGAGTTGCATCTTATTGGTCATGTCACATAATAAGGTTGCATATGATTGGTTAATTTTTGGTGCCAGAAATCCTTATATACAAGTATAGGCACCTTATTTAAAAAATATATCTATTTTTATTGATTTTAGAGAGAAAGGGAGGGAAAGGAAGAGAGAGAAATATCAATCAGCTGCCTCCTGCATGCCCCATACTGAGGATCAAGCCCAAAACCAAGGCATGTGGCCTGACCAGGAATCAAACCGGTGGCTTTTTGGTCATTGGAACAGCACTCAACCAACTGAATCACACCAGCGAGGGCTAGGTAACTGATTTTTAAAAAAGTCACTTTGCCCTGTCTGGCACATCCTTCCTGGGGGCACATCCTCCTGGCGCCAGGTGGCTCAGTTGGTTGGAGTGTTGTCCCATATACCGAAAAGTTTGTGGGTTCGATCCCTGGTCGGGGTGCATATGGGAGGTGGCTGGTTGATATTTCTCTCTCATATCAATGTTTCTGTCTCTCTCTCTCTCCCTTCTTCTCTCTAAGAAAAAGAAAAAAAAATCAATATAAACATATCCTTGGGTAAGGATTTAAAAAAAGTAACTTTGGAGCAAAACGGGGGTAATTATTATTATTAATTATTACTATTTGTAAATCAATTTTTTGTCGGATAAGCAAAAAATATAATATGTTTTTTGGTGTGCCACAGAATTTTAGTAATTAGTTTATGTATGCCTTGAGATGGAAAAGGTTGAAAATCGCTGGTACATCTTCATTGACAGTTTTCATTCTTTTCCATTTCTCTTAAGGAAGTTCCGAATGTGTGAGGCTTCTAATTGATGTTGGGGCCAATTTGGAAGCACACGATTGCCATTTTGGGACTCCTCTGCACGTTGCTTGTGCCCGGGAGCATCTGGACTGTGTCAAAGTGCTGCTCAATGCAGGTGCGTTGTGTTTATATACCTGCACCACTCAATGCAAGTGTGTTGGTGTTTCTACCTGCTCTGTTCAATGCAGGTGCATCATTATTTATATCTGCACTGCTCCAAGCAAGTGTGTTGGTGTTTACCTGAGCTGCTCCATGCAGGTTTACATGCACCATGTGCCAGCCGAGAGCTAGGTGGTGGAGTCAGCTCAGGTCTGAAGCTAGCTCTCCCACAGGCCCGTGAGACCTTGGGCCTCAGCTCTATATCATAAAACTGGAAAAGTAAAACCTATTTTGCAGGTTTGTTGGGAGGATTTGTGATAATGTTTCCATAGTGCCTGGTGTATAGTAGTGCTCAACAAATGCTAATAATTACTTTTAGTGGCTCAGGGAGCCACCCACAAAACCTGTTTAATAAGGTTGCTGTCTAAACCAGAAAGAGATGAGGATCCAATGGAAAATGGGGTTGGCAGCATTTGGAATCCAGGTCATGGTGAGGTGTTCTAAAAATATTCAGGATATTTCTAGTAAAGATGGTGGAATAGGTAAACTGTACTCACCTCCTCCCATGACCACCTCAAAATCACAACTAAATTGTAGAACCACCATCACTGAGAACTACCTGATGACTAGCTGAACAGAAGTTTTATAACTAAGGATATACAGAAGAAGCCACATCAAGACTATTAGTGTTGTGGGTGGTGGGAAGGGCACCAGGTGTTAGACTGGTGGGGTCAGGCCAGACCTGGGTTCAGCAACCTCAGTACTTGAGTTCTGGTTAGGAAAAAATTCAGAGCCAAGACTCAAACTATAAGAGAACATTTATTTATAAAATCACAGAGCTAGAAAAAGTAATTCGTAGAAGAAATGGGTTTAGGAAACAAGTTATAGAGGTAAAGGAAAGGCCCTAGGAGCTTGGGAGTAGGAAGGTAATGGTAATGTGCCTGGGAAAAGGGGGAGGGGGAAGGGAAAGGGAAAGGAAGGGAAGGGAAAGGAGGGTGTGCCCCCAGGAGGGAGAGCTTGAACTGGGTCTTCTGTCTTAAGGATTTTAAGGGTGAAGATTTTAGGGGAGGTCCCAGGGGAAGATCTCAATAGAATATTCAGAAGCTTTCCAGGTGTGTCCTTTTAGGGTCTAGGTCTCCACTGATTGGTTGATTGGCACCAGGGCAGGGGTCATTATCCAATGCAGCTGGTCCTGAGGTCAGCTGTGGGGTCACGTAACTGGTTTTGCTGCTTTTTTGGGCCTGGAGCTGAAATACAACTGAGGCCTAGATGTTATCTCTAGGGAGGAAAGGTCAGGGGGTCCAAACTGCATGACCAGCAATATGCTAGGGGAGGAAAGGGGCAAGGTTCCACTCTACATTGTCCTTTGGTGTGTGTGTGGGGGCGGGGCAGGTTTTCTACCCTGGTGACCTTCTGTACCTGGCCCATAGTCCTTGCTCTGCTCATGTCTGCCTAATTGCCTACCACAGTAGGAGGGGTGGAGACGTGGCAAGGGCAGGTCCCACACCAATAGCGTAGTGATTAAGAATCAAGTGGGATATCTTGGCTGTAGAGGTTCCCCCTAAGGAGTGAGGGTTCTCAGCGCCCCATAAGACTCCCCAGCCTGGACCACCAACACAGGGAAGAGGAGTCCTCATGACATCTAGGTTTGAAAACCAGTGGCGATCCCATTTGAGTGAGGATGGAGGGCTTCGGGAGACCAAGGTATTACTTTTGAGGGGCCTGAGAACAGACTCACTTGCTAATACACTCACTCACTCACTCACTCACTCACTCACTCACTCACTCACTCACAGGCTCATTTGCTCTGGCCTCTAGTGTGGGGGCAGCAGATCAAACAACAGCAGGAGGGTATGGGGAGGAACTGAATTGACTAACTTCAGGGCTAAGATGTAGGGGAAGGGGTCAAGGTAGCTTTCTCTGGGGACAGAAGTGCTGGTAGGCGACATTACTTCTTTGTTGAGCCTTGTCCTACCCAGCCAGCAGGCACCAAATCTGAGTTCTCCGTTAACCTGGCTACCACCATTAACCCCACCCTGGTGAATCCCTATGGCCCCGCCCCACCCAACTCCCATGCCCTGCCCGAGCCACTTCCAGGGCTTTTCCACACAAGTGGCCTGATGTACCTTGTTCTGAGGACTTTTCTAAAATCTCTCAAAATACAAAAATCCCAAACAAGCAGCAGCTGGATTTGGCATGTTCTGAACCTCTTGCTAAGTGGCTCCAAGCCTAGCACAAAGGGCAACTGGTCTCAACTTGCATTGTAACTCCCATAAGGGTGGCCCCAATCCTGGCATAAGCTGTCACCAGTGTTGGCCTGGAACATAGCTTCAACTAAGTCCTCACATACCTGGAACAAGAGGCAGGTGGCCTCAACTCACACTGTGGTGCTCATCAAAGTATCCCAAGTCTGGCACTAGTGGCAGCTGGTCTTGGTTCACAGCATACCTTCTCCCAAATGCCTCCAAGCCGAGGACAAGTGGTAACCAACCACAGATCACTTTGCAGCTATGACTATGTGGCCCCAAGCTGGACACAAATGACAGCTGACATTTACCTGTTCTGGAGCCCCTCCCAACAGACTCCAGAACCAACACACCTGGTGGCCAGCTTCAAACCACACCAGAGTACCACCCAACCAGCTTCACAACTGACACACTTAAAGGGTGAACTTGGCTGGCACCAGAGCCCCACTGAAGCAATTCCCATTTCATGGGGCCAGCCCCCATACAACAGCTTGTCTGCTGTTATCAAGCCAGTCCTCACAGCTAGTCAGCCTCAGGGTCAAACCCATCCACTGATGTGCCAACAGCAATCAAGGCCCAACTGCAACAGGAGAGCATACACAACCCACACAAGAGATACTGCTGGAACACCTGGCTCAAGTGAGCAGGGAGACTGTGCCACTGGGCCTCATAGAACACCTACTACATAAGGTCACTCTGCCAAGACTGGGAGACCTAGCAGACCTACCAAATACCTAGAAACAAACTCAGAGAGGCAGCCAAAATGAGAAGACAAAGAAACATGTCCCAAATGAAAGAATAGGACAAAACTTCAGAAAAAGAACTAAACAAAATGGAGGCAAGTAATCTACCACATGCAGGGTTCAAAATACTGGTTATAAGGATGTTCTGAACCGAGGGGAAGAATAAATGAACTCAATGAGAAGCTCAAGAAAGAGGAACCATAAAAAAGAACCAGTCAGAAGTGAAGAGTACAATAACTTAAATGAAGACTACATTAGAGGGAATCAATAGCAGATTAGATGAAGCAGAAGATCACATTAATGATATGGAAGACAAGGTAGTGGAAAACACCCAATCAGAACAGCAAAAAGAAAAATTAATTTTAAAAAAGTGAGAATAGTTTAAGGGACATCTGGGACAACATCAAGCATATCAACATTTGCATCAGAAGGATACCAGAAGGAGAAGAAAGAGAACAAGGGATTGAAAACCTATTTGAAGAAATAATTACTGAAAACTTCCCTAACCTGTCAAAGGAAATGGACATACAAGTCCAGGAAGCATAGAGAGTTCCAAACAAGATGACCCCAAAGAGGCCCACACAAAACACCTCAGAGAAAGACAAATAACATACAATTTCACTTACATGTGGAATCTAAAAAAACCCAAAATGAATGAACAAAAAACAGAAACAAACTTATAGATACAGACAACAAATTGATGGTTGCTTGGTGGGAGGGAAGGGTTGGGAGATGGGTGAAAAAAGTGAAAGAGGTTAAGATATAAAATTGGCAGTTATAAAAATAGTACAACATAGGAAATATAGTCAATAATATTGTGATAACTATGTATGGTGTCAGATGGGTACTAGACTTATAGGGGTGATCACTTCGTAAGTTATATAAATGTCTAATCACTGTTATACACCTGAAACTAACATAATATTGTATGCCAACTGTAATTGAAAAAAAAATTAAATAAAAAAACCAAAAAGTGTTCAGGGTAGAGAGATTCCCAAGGTGAAAAACAAACAAACAAACAAAATAAAGAACAACTCAACCAGCTGAAGGTTTGATTCAGGACCTATCTACCACAGGAGTTTTACAATGAGGCCAAAGTGGGTATTGGTAAGGAGTTTTTACTATGAACACAACTTAAATATTTTCTTGAGAGAAAATTTTAGCTCATCCATTTTGTGTGCAGCTTAGGATAGAAAACAGAACTGTTCAGAAATAGAAAGATATGAATTTTCTTCCGATGATGGTCATGTGCGCATAAGTTATAAATGTAGTTTTTTATTAGTGAGTCTTATTCGTTTGAAGGTGTCACTTTTAAGTCTTTTCAGTGAAAAAGATTCATTTTGTGTAAAGTTGGTCATGGTGGCAGTTTTTATTTTTTATATAATGATAAAATATTTCGATTAGAAACAGTCCTAAGTCTTCCAGCCAAGTCACTCATCGGGTGGTTGGATCCCATTTCTGTCGGGCTAGGGTATCTACCTATCATTACTGTTGAGCTTTTTAAATAAAGATTTTACAGTGCAACAAACCTTAGCTTTTAAAATAAAGGTTTGATTACACTAACCCTCTGCAGAGTGCCTGCTATACATGTGTTTAGTACACTTTTCATTTCATGTTTTTATTCCTTTTTGTTGTGGCTATAGGAGAAAGGATCAAATTAGTGGTTTTAACCCCAACATCCTCTCTGCATTAATTAGGACTTTACAGAAGTGATTTCTCCTTTATAACTAATAGGAGACCAACTCCACCTGGGTGGGGGGCTTTATTTCTTGGTTCAGGTAACTGAAAGGATCAGAGCTAGAGCCAGTTTCAATAGTGTCATAAATTTTCTTTGAATTTTGCGATTCTGCTTTCCTCGGTGTTCACTTGACCATATGCCTGGCGTCCCCAGTGTGGTCGGATGGATAAAGCAGAGTCAGGCTGAAATCCAAATGCTTCAGTCTGATAGCTTTCTGATAGCTTTCTCAGAAGAGTGAAAACTCTCCCAGATGTCTCCCTAACACCTCCCCTTATGTCCCATCAGCTTG